CGAGACCGATAGGTCCTGAGTTCGAATCTTGAGAGGCGAGGTCGTGGATGCGCATTGTTCAGGAGTCCCATGCTAGGATGAAACGACCGTCCAGTGCCTCCACGTTTTCCATGGTAGTCTAGCTTCAATTGACTCATGATTTCAACTACAGGAGTATTTACTGTATGGTTCTCAGATTTTACTAAGATGTTCTGTAATTTTGTATTCAAATGCATTTGATTATCTCCACTTTTGTTCTGATTCACTACAAAATCAGTAATCTAATTATTTAAAATAATGTCTATTAAAAAGAATTAATTTTGTACACTTGATGTATTGTAATACTCAAATCAATAGGTTACTTATTATAGAAAGAACTAATGATCAGCTGACTGATTATTCTTTGTGAATCATTTAACCAATGTACAATGTCCATAATGTAAACATAATTAGTAATTATTTCAAGTATAGATAATTATGGTGGGACTATTGTCAAAGGTTAGTTATTAGCTAATCAGATTAATTCCTGGATAAGTTTCAATTTACAGAAATAATAAAAATAAAATATCTATGCATTATGATAAATACTTGACTATTAAACTAGTGAATAGCAAAAGGTGACATATCTCTCTTAGAGAACTGGTATAGTAATTAGTTCTAACCATCTTGCTATAATGATGTGACTGCTAAGTCCTGTATAATGATTAACTAAACTTTCTTATATCCTAATTGACCAGGCGTCAAATTTTTTTATCAATTTTTACATGTTCTCTATAAGATTCTACTATCTCAAAGATATTCATGTCCTTGTAAATTTCCTTACTTTCTGTATACTATATAACCTTCAACTATGGAATGATCCCAATTACAGTATCCTTTCATTCTTGTTACACCAATGGATTCTGACTCAGTGGTTTTAATTACTAAGTATCCCCCATGAGACTTGGAGGTCTTATGTTCAGTTCCCGATGAGGATTTCTACACTAGGATCAAACAACTGTTTAGTGATTCCTGTTATTCAGATGTACCTCAATTAAATCTAGTCTGTGACAGATACAACCTACAAAGGGAATAAATTTCCTTGGAAACTTTTCAACTATGCTGGGATATCAGAATAGGATTGCGGAGATTAAGTTTTTTATTAAGATAACGGAACGACTGATGTTAGACCACCATTAAAAGCCTGGAGGCACTGAACAGCCGTTTCCTCCTATTGTGGGACTCCTCAGGAGTGCGCACCAGGCATCAGAACCCAGGACCTTCAGTATCACACGCGAACGCTTTACCTCTACATCACTGATCCGGCATCCATTGGTGTTAATGTCTAACGTCCACCAATCCACGAGACTGCGCGGCCATCTTCCATTGTACTGAGGTAGATACCTGTCTCTACCCGACACGGATTAGCTCTAATGTCCACGGCTTCTCACTAGAACTCCGAGAATTCCCTCACTGGATGGCCACGGAAGGGATCGTGGATGCGCACTACTGAGGAGTCCCAATGTAGGACAAAATGGCCGTCCAATGCTTCCAGGTTTTTAATGGTGGTCTAACAACAATCGGTTCGTGATCTCAATCAATATACTGGGATAAGTTATTATATGTGAAAATTATATTTGAAATAATCTCGGCAATTGAATTTTAAAATAATTCCAACGTTTCGTCCAGTTAACTTGTTTGGACTTCCTCAGGGTAATAATCGTAATTAAAATTATCAAAGGAATATATAGCGTTTTAACAATCAAATCTATACTGCGCTAATCCAACCATATTTGAATGTTGATTTTTAGTAAATGGGATAACATGAGTCAGTTAAATGAGAATCATGTGAAAAGTTCACGACGTGAAAATAAATGACTGAACGAATTGTCTGTGTGTGTGTATGTATGTGTAAGATTGAGTTATTAATGTTTGATATTCGGTGTTAATATGTTTTTATCTGAAGGAATAAATAAAATAAAAGTGCAAGTTGAAGGTTGAAAATTGTTTCCGAATCATGTGCATATAAAATGAGAATCATAAGTACATAATTGTGTATTGCTAAAACTTACATTAATTACAGTCAAAATAATGATGCATGTGAAATAAACAGGTTGAATAAAGAAAGGGTCCAATTACTTGTCAACGAATATTTGCCAAGTAGTCGCTAGTTGAATACCGTCCTTTCGGTTCAGGCTGTTCTTGTTCGCCCATACATACAGCGCTTCTGCTGTCAATCTTTCTTCATGAGTGTTAAAGCCTTTCTGACGTATCTTGGTCCCTTCAAAATTAATCTTGTGTCCTGCTTCTAACGCATATAACGCGATCGCAGACTTATTCTCAAGTTTCTTTAAGTCAACCGAGGATTTGCGAACATTTTTCAAACACTGTTTGTGTTCCTTCAACCTTACATTCAATTGTCTGGATGTTTCGCCCACATAAGCTGCATTACAGTCATGACAGTTGATCTCATAGACAATATTTTGTTTTTCTTCATTAGGGAACCTATCTTTAACTTCAACTAATGCTGATCTTATGGTGTCACATGCCCGAAAATACACTCTTACATCATGCTTGTTTAGAATTCGCTTGATTTCTTCCAATGTTTCACTACGGTATAGGATGACCACTGTGGACTTCCAATCTTTCAGTATACATTCTAGTTTAATTTTTCTTTCATTTCTAACAATCTTCTCTAGAAACTCTTTTGGGTAGTTGTTATTCCTAATTGTAGACAATACTCTATTCCATTCAACTTGTTGATCTTCCTTATCTGTAACTAGTCTAATACTTCTGTTCATTAAGTTTTTTACAACATGGACTTTCGTACACTGCGCATGAGCCGAACCATAATCTAAGTATCTCTCAGAATGTGTTGATTTTCTGAATACATTTATTTTCAACTTCTTATGATTGTCTTCGTTCAACCAAACAGTCGCGAAACGCTAGTTTGTGGTCAACGGATTCAACTTCCTTCGTTAGCTTAATGCTTTCCGAAATGTTGTTTACATTTTCAAACAATTATTCTAAGCCATCCTGTATAATGATAATAAAAATGTCATCTACATACCATAACCAGACCTTTGGTGGGCATACACATCTTGTGATTGCACTGGTTTCTAGGGAATGCATAAATAAATTCGCTACAATCGGAGAAACTGGTGAACCCACTGCTATACCTTCTTTCTGTCTGTAAAGGTCTCCTCGAAATGTAAATAAGGTGGATCTTAAGCATAATTCCAAACATTTAATAACTTCAGATGGATCTAATAGGCATCGTAAATTCATATATGAGTCAGATTCTAAACAATCATAGATAATATCCAACTCTCTATTGACAGGTAAATTAGTGAATAAGGAAGATACATAAAAACTTGCCAATATTTCATCCTCTTCTACATAGATGGTATCGATAATATTCTTGAATTCCATAGAGTTTTTAATTTCATGATTAATCAGTTTGTCATACGGTTTAAGTATCTTAGCTAAGTATTTCGCTAGATTGTACGTCTGTGAATTTGTAAAATTAACCACTGGTTTTAGTGGAGTATTATTCTTGTGAATCTTTGGAAGTCTATAGAATCTACGAGGGTTACAACTCTTTGGATATAACATGAACCATAATGATGATCCTAGTTTAACCTATAACGACTGCAAGACTTTACTGGTTTCAGCTTATGTTTAGTAAGCGTTGTTCTACTTTTCGTTTCTTTAATTAGTTCATACGAACCCTCTTGTAGATGGTTCCTGGCTTTTTCCTCGTAATCCGATTTGTTCATAATAACTGTCGTGTTCCCTTTATCTGCTCTCGTAATGATAATTGTCTTATCATTTCTCAGATGTTTTAATGCATTTAATTCATTTTTAGTTATATTAGAATTATGTGGTTTCTGATATAATAACGTAGCCATTATTATGTTGGGATATGCTTAACCTCATACTGATATTAATTAGAATTAGGAAGTAGTCGAATAGTTGTTTATACCTAGTTTAGGAATCTTCACTAACCGGCACCTATAAACCTACATATGGGATTGAATACGGGGCATTTATATTTGATGGTAATCACATTATTTATAGACTATTGAGTTGAGATTCAGTGTTTAAATTTCCATCACTTGAGATTTCGTTAAATACTATGATATTCATCAATCATAATCGATGGTACCTTGTTTACTTCTAACCTCACTTAACCTCAGCTGCTACAATTTCTTAATGGCATTTTGGAAATCCATTTCCAAGCCACTGGTTTGCAGAGATTAGGGTAGTATGAAGACATTTTTCATTCATAATCGACATTAACCAGATAGTTATAAAAAAATAAAGGGATCTTAGCTTGGGACAACCATATGACTGGATGATTATGGAGTAATATCACGAATAAATTAATTTGAGGGTTTACTTTACGAAATGACAATTAAATATTTTAAAGAACATATTATTCCCAATATCTTGAGGTAATGTGTGTGTGTATGTGCACTAGTGAATAGTGGTTCGGAACTTTGGACAAATTAGATATCCAGTGTTACATGATTTTCAATGGTTTAAGTCAAAACTGTTTTCAGATTTCAACAGTTGAGATCATGTGTCAATTGAAGCTAAACCACCATGGAAAACCTGGGACCACTGAACGGCCGTTTCGTCCTATTGTGGGACTCCTCAGCAGTGCGCACCCACGACCCCGCCCCGCAGGATTCGAATTCAGGACCTACCAGTCTCGCGCCAGACGCTTAACCAACTAGACCGCTGAGCCGGCATCCAATGGTGTTAATGTCTAACTTCAACTAATCCACGAAATTGAACGACACATCCAACCATTGTCATCAGTGAGTTACTACCTCACAACTGACCCGGTTGAACTCCACTGGTCACTGCTTCTCACTAGAACTCGAGGATATATCCCTTGAAGTCAGTCACTAGTGAGCATATGTTGATTAGTATCAGATTGTTTATTGTCCTACTTTGAGTTACTTCAATATACAATGATTTTATAGCTCTTCGTATAAATGTTTCTTTTTGGTTTTCAATATTCTATTATACAGACTATGTCCAGAATTGTTCTCCTTCTAGCGCATACACGTAAACAATTAAATCATACTGATATAAAATGTAAACACGAAAATCAATATAATTTGTCAGATAATTTTCAACAATCATCCAATCCTTTATGGTTAGAAGAAGATAAACTATTGGATTCATCCAATTTTAATGATAATTTTCAAGCTGTAAATGATCTAAATGAATTGAAATCTCATATCAATCATTCAATACTGGATGTTTCCAATATTGACAGAAAACAAATAAGGTATTCATGAAATTTGTTTCATGTATGTATTTGTTTAATTTTGTTCAGTAATTACAAGAACTAAACAGTAACACATCAGATTATCAATGAAACTCAAGAGAACAACCTATAAAATTCATGAGATATTGAAGTCTGATTACACAAATATAGCATAGACTATTAGTCTCAGTTTTATGCATGAATTCTATGAGAACGATTGAAGGTCAGGATCACCATATACTTCCTGTGTTGACGAGAATATAAACGTGTCGAGTCTCTTTTGCCTTCCGATTGCCTATTTTCTGTCTAGTTGATTGATGATAAACAAAATTCTAAGAAACCATATAGGTACTTAACTCTAGTAAAGGACTTAAAGAGACAATAGAACATGGTACGACGAAACCGTTAAAGACTTAGATTCGTAAGGACTACCACGGATATTTCATGTGATAGAGAAAGAAGTATGATAAGTGTGTTGCCACAAGCAGAGAGCATTTTGATGGCAAAAAGGACTGATGTTCCGTAGAATTTGTAAAATGAAGTCTTTATGACCTTCGATCACATACTCATTGGGGATAGAGATATGTGAATTTTGCAAGGTTGTCAATTATTTGTGTTGTTAAGAATCACTTTGTATTGGAGAAGACACTTGCTAACAAGTAATATGAATATATGTCTGAGAAATTTGATTAAAAGGATTGTTGGAATCCTTTTTAAATAAATAAACTTTTAAACAACAAAATATGCCGGAGGTTTTGAATAATCGATAACAATAGTCAAGAAGCCCTAAGCTTTCTGATAGTTAGCACTCCTCATCAAGACTTATCAACAATCTTGACAGAATTGACACATCTCATTCGATTTGAACTCACATCATTCACTGCAATCGACAGACTCGTTACAAATGAACTGGTTGTACCATATTCCAACGTACTCTGGAAATTATTCACTGTTGGGGATTAACTATGAGACTAGTCACTACTTAACGGCAGATTAATGTATATAGATTATCAGACTACGTAAACTATAGCTGCAAATCATTCTTAATAATATGAAGACTTTTCAGCGTCAAAGTAATCCATATATCAGACAAACAGTTGGATTTCCCTTTATCAGGGTTAATTAGCTTCATATCCCAAAGATGATTACATTTTTTCAGATTTTCTGAAACTGAAATCGACATTTCATAATTACAGAAGACTAATTACAGATGATTCATACGATATATTATTAGGGTTTCGATTACTTCAAGTGTCTACATATTTCAAAATAGTTTGGTTAGTAAACTGTATGATACCTGTGCAAAAAATCAAAATCTTTGACCATTGATTCTTGTTCAATTGAAGTATGAATTAAATAAGCTACTTTTCATCAGCTTTACACACATCTACAAGTCTATAACTTTTTGGGATGATTAATAGATGATTAACGTAGTAGATTATTAGTAAGTCATAATATGGCTGTTTTATGACAGAATATGCGGATTGTGAGGATCCAGGATATTTAGTTCATCATATATGTGGTACATCAGCTGAATGTGCATTCATTTCAGTGTTGAAGTTCATATGATGTCTCATTGCTAGCTTAAGTGTATCTATTAACATTATATATTTTTGTCTGACATTGAATACAAATAAACATAAAGGATAATAGAACTTGTATTACTCTGATGATTGTCCAATAACTTTTCTTATGATTGAACTTTAACAGATCTGAACATTAAAACCATTAAGTTCAGTGCACTAATTCATTAACTTCCCATTTTTAATTCTATGCCAATATGTTATTATTTGATCTATTCTATTTTCATAGATATTTTCTGTTTCAGTTTGAAAGTTATTCACATCAAGAAATGATATTATCTAGGAAACTATTGAAAACGAAACATTTCTGAATATTCACTTTATACCTGTTTAAAATCACTAATTAGCAGTAAATATCCAAGATGCCATCAGGGATAAGACATAAAATCTTTAGGTCTCAGAGTTTTAATGTGAATTTTGACCAGTAAAGTTCAACCATAGAAGACGTGAGATAAATAATACTGATGTAAATTAATAAAGGTAACTCAGTGGCTTGAATTGATTGAGGTTGTAAATGGTAACTACTGGGTGGTAACTCGGGAGTCCAAAAGTTACAAGCGCAGAGCAAAGCCTATAGGTCTCGGATATCTCATACTAAGATGAAACAGCTATCTTATATTTCCTGTTTCTTAATAGATTATCGGACTTCTATGTTGCATCTTTCGGTTTGCGCAAAACAGAACAAACTGGTTACGTTGGCTTATGAGTGAGATTGATCCCATATGGTTTCAAAACTTATTATAATTTCTGAAGTATTTATCATAACTGATAGGAAGATTTGTGCTCTTTATTTCAGAGGGGGAATTTCAGGGTGTGAAATCAATTTTTCAGATACCCTTTGATGAAATTACTTCTGTGATCATACAGAATATTACAAGAAACCACTTACACTGACTTATCAATAAGCAGTGACCAACGTCATATGTGCCTAGTTACCTAAATCCTAATTGAATTCTAGCAATCAAGTTAGAATGTGGTCACTAATTTAAGTGACTTGATCTCTCACGTAATATGTACTGATATGAGGTAGTTAGGGGCAGTCAGCAAGGAACCCTGTATGTCTCGGACTGTTAAACTGGACGATATAGGTTTAAATCAACCAAGGTACATCATTTTCCTCAAGATTTTAGATATATATCACTGATGAATGCCAATGAACACGAAATCTATGTATAAGATTTCCTGTCAAACATTTCTGAACACTTAACAGCATACCACTTATATATCTGTTGAAAAATGATGTAATAAGAGAACTTTCCTCCTTATTCGTTTTACGAATAATAAATTTTACTTTTAGTATACTGTTAATACATTTTTTTTAAATATACAATTAGCGGTCATTTCAAAATGTTTTATTTACATTATAGAATCTCAGAAACTTTCTACCCAGTTAATGTAAATGGACTTCTTATTTGGAATTTGCATATTAACAATAAATCAAATGAAATTATTATATGTAAGTAATATATCATTAAATATTTAGTATAACCTTATAGCTTAGTACTAGTAGTAGTGTGGTCTATGCTACTTATGTCGACAGATATAAGTAGTATATAACATTAATCAGAAATGAAAGGCTTGGCAACAGAAGGTTGGGAAGATCGAATCTAAATGGACGGGAACAGTGAGTAATTGTTATGGCAATGAAAGAACAACGAAGTTTGAGAGAATGAATGCAAGAATTTCAAATGAAGTACTGGTTTTCACATTTTATTAAAGAACTGTGTAATTTTGTATTAGACTATTTTGGTTGTCCCTATCTATGTTCTTGTTCATTACAATCGTAGTAATGAAATATACATTTCAGTTTTGAAAAAAATCTTAAACAGTTTCAATATAACTTTTATTATTGTTCATAAGAGAATGTCTTTTGTTTAAAGTAACTTTTGTTTTACTTTGTTTTCACAGGTCCTGAAACATATCAGATATGGTTGAATAATCAAAAGATTAAAAATATCAAAGTTAGTCTGTTTCATTAAACTTTAAAATAGAATAGAATAAAATAACATGGGAAAGTAGAGTATATTTTGATATTAGATGTATGAAGACAAACAAAATTACATTCCCTCCAAGTCTAGATTTGTATTTCTAGAAATTTATGGTGAGACTATAATTTATGGACGACTTTTGAACAACGCTAGGCTAACCTTGAGAGTGTCCGCTTAAATACTAGGGCTAACTGAGGGTTATAAAGCAGTTTGAAGAATAAGGATAATGATTTACAGTTGATGGTTTAGGTTAGGAACTACATTTGGGGTTTTCATCACGAACTGACATCAACTGTAATGCCAAAACTCTATTTAGCCAAATGGGTGAATGAATTTCGCGCCAAAATGTAAGACTTGTTAGCGTAAATCTAATTGGTTCGTCCATAAATTATAGTATCGGCGAATTTATTTCAAAACATATCAGAAACCTTAATGAAAACCATTTCCCTCTGTTGTAAGTATTCAGTTTATTCAAAAACCTTCAAATAAATAGCTTGTCATTAAAGAATCAGATGAACTACAGGCATGAATTTAGTGATGAGTAGTCCTAAAAGTAGAAGACTAAACTTAAATCCTAATGAGAATATAGGGTTAGAGTATAACTGATTTGGTAGATAATATGTCTGATAAGCCTTCAATTTCCTCTGATAGTCAATTCATTAAATCAATAAATTCTGTGCTGGATAAGTGACTTTCAGTAACCTATTACTTCCTTTCTACTAATAGGTATAAATCACTCGAATTAATACTAAGTAATATGTACTAATCAAAGTAGTCATATTAACAAACCAGAGGTATTGGGCTCTACATAATTTTCTAATATTTTCTCTAAAAAAAGTATGACTACACACAGTATATTCAAATGATGTAATTTGGTTAAGATGTGATACAATGTAATTATTACAAATACTCTTAAATAATTGAGATTAACTTCGACTAGTAATGGTATAAGTCGGAGGGTTATTAAAAATAAACTTAACGTAAACGGTTAAACTGATTTACTCCATAAGACTCCTGAATATTATCTATCCAATACGTTCAGATATCATGGTTAGAGTCATCAATTCAGGATACAATGATTTCTATTCCATAACTCCAGACCATTGTAATGTATGAAGTCAACCAAATCATAAAGTTTATACTGATAATTTTGTTCAAAAGTATAAGAAAAGTTCTATAATTGAACCATTCCGATCAAAGAATGAAATTCCATCAATTTGAATAAAACAGTAACCGATATCTGAATTCGAAATATATATGAACCATTAATTTCTAACTGAACAACTTAACAATGTTCTATTGACCATGAAACTTGGATGTCTTTGGTTTGATCACAGGGTGAGTTCGTAAATATCTAGTAGTAGCGTGTCATAACAACGAAAACAATAGTAATTCACCAATCTCTGTTTTTCAAATACTCTTTATCTAATATCAATCGATAAAGTGACTTAACTCCAAAGTAATTGGAAAATCTTCAAAATATCATATTAGCAATGAATTCCCACTCGTTTATAAGGTTATAACATGTGGATATCATAAAGTTTAATACATTCAACTTAATTATTAGTTTGTTTTCTATATTTACATGTAATCAAGTTAGTCCAATACTTAATATAGATTCAAATTGATTATCCTTTTGTGAAATAATCTGTTAACTGTAATCAAACACATTATATATATATGGTATTTACCCTTCATTTCATTCCCTTTTTCTCTACTGTTTCACTTCCCTCATTTCATTCATATAGGTATATTTAGATTGTCATAGACAATCACAACATGGGACATTATTACTTCAATTTGAAATGAACCTTTCAAATGATTCAACTAATAATCAGAATTCATTTCAACAAATTATAAAAAGTTTTAATTATCAATTTATTATTTCTGCATTTTATTCATCTGAATGTTCTGTGACACTAGAAGATAAAGAACTTATTTTAGATCTATTACAATTGAAACATATGAAATCATTTATGAATATGTCAATGACCAATTGGACAATTCGTTATATTTATCACATTTAAATTATTACCATATTCGAAAACCAGTATGTATAATTTAGGTTTATTAATAGTATAACTAATGAATTAATAAATAAAAATAATTCTTAACATGTCTCTATTGAGGAACATTTTGTTGTTTAATCTTTTATTACTTATAAGTAGGTAAATTTTAAGAGTTCAGAAGGGGTTTTGTTGAGATTGTAGTCATTTCAAAAGTTGAGATAAAAAGTCAATTGAAGCTAGAACACCATGGAAAACCTGAAAGCAGTAGACGGCCATTTCGTCCTATAGCGGAACTCCTCAGCAGTGTGCATCGACGATCCCGCCTCACGAGGTTCGAACTCAGGGCTTTCAGTTTCGCGCACGAACGTTTAACCTCCAAACCACTGAGCAGGCATCCGATGGTGTTAATGTCTACCTTCGACTAATCCACAAAATTGGGCGGCACATCCACCATTGTCATCAGTGAGTTACTATCTTACAACTGACACGGTTGAACTTCAGTGGTCACTACTTCTCACTAGAACTCCAGGACAAATATTGTATTCAGGTCTTTGAAAATACGGTATGATTTCAGTATTAATTGGTTACTAGATGCTAATCTTTATCACCGAGTTACATCACCCAAAAAATGTTAAAAACCAATGATCAGCCAGTATTATGGCTCATTTTGAAACTTTCTAACTATACATATCCTCAACTGTAAAGAAGATCAAATTTGGAAGTATTTAAGCTTCTCAGTCTTAACTAAATGTTTGGAATACATCATAACATTAAACTTGTCTATATTTAACTAATTCAACCAATTAGTGGTGGAGAAAAACTATCATCTATTATCATTTGTAGGAATATGTGGTAATTTTAATAAATTACGAATATTTTGTACATGATTGACCTCTCTATTCTTATTTCAATACATTACATTAATGTGAGTCATTTCCTGTCATTTTCTTCCATACAACGAGGAATTGAAATTTATTGAATAGATGCAAATGAGATATGTCATTGAAAGTTGTACAGTTATTTGAAGAAGAAAAAACAATAGAAGTAATAATATAAACAAATAAATAAATAATCACACTAATTAAATTCATTTTGTATTGTTCGTTGAAGAGAACGGTATTGTGTACGAGTCCTAGAGTGAACATCAGCTCTAGGATGCTATTACATCCAGCTGATGAGTCCCAAATAAAACGGGATGCGCATCCTGGGTTCCAACGTTAGTCACCATTCATCTCTGCTTATAATGGTTGTGATCTAGGGCAATATTGAAGCAATCAGCACAGGATGCACATATACCAATAAGAGACAGATCAATTGCAGTTCTAAACACCAATGGAAAGTTTCAAACGAACAATACAAAATGAATTTAATTAGTGTAATTATTTATTTATTTGTTTATATTATTACTTCTATTGTTTTTTCTTCTTCAAATAACTGTACAACTTTCAATGACATATCTCATTTGCATCTATTCAATAAATTTCAATTCCTCAGTGTATAAAATCTATCATAAGTTACCTGGACAACATCAGTAAAAAAAGTTTAACTCAGAAAAAATACTAATGTTTATTTCATGCCATTTGGGCGTACAAAAGTAGAATTGTTTACACACCTGAGGAATATAAAACTTTTGGTATTGATAGTAATAGTAATAATAATAGTATTTTTCATTTTTACATAATTACCAATCCATCTGGCTGTTACTGATCATAGGTTCAATGGAGATGGTGATGATGATAATGATTCTGCATTTTCATATACGCCACATTTTGTTACCATGATTAAAGAACAATAATAATAATAATAATAATAATAATAATAATAATAAGAAGAAGAAGAAGAAGAAGAAGAAGAAGAAGAAACCAAACGTTACCCTGTAGTTAATATCGGCTATTTAATTACTTTAAGCTAATTAGAGACTGAAATAAGAATAAAAAATAAATTGACTTCACAATATGTTATTTCATTTGATATGTTTAGTTACGAACAAACATGTAGCGGGCACGAATGTGTGTATGTAGGACTGTAAAAAAGAAATTACATGCAAGATAAAATTGTCTTCTTATGGAAACACCTGTTTCAAAACATCAACTTTATTATTATCATTACTAGTAGTAGTAGTAGTAGTAGTAGTAGTAATAGTAGTAGTAGTAGTAGTAGTAGTAGTAGTAGCAGGAGGAGAAGGAGTAGTAGTAGTAGTAGGAGGAGGAGGAGGAGGAGGGGGGAGGGGAGGGGCGTAGTAGTATTAGTCGTAATATGTGTAACAGTTTGTAACAAGGTTACTCTGACTATAACCGACTATCATCATTACCTTTCATGTTAATCATAGTAGGAAATCGTCGAGAATAAAGGAAGTTTTATTTTAGTAAATATTAATAAGAATATATATATATATGCAACACTTTTGTTTATTATAGATCAATGTCTGAAGATTACTAAAACTATAGCAACCCTAACAAAATCCATAATAATAATTCAGCATTCTGAACGAACTATTTAGTTCCCTAATTAATATGAGGAAGAAAACAAGTTGGTTTTAATAGTCCAAAAAACCAACGAAAGTAATGGCTACAAAATGAAGTCATTAAAGGAACTGAACAAATCTTTTTTTGTGTTGGTAAATAGTTTGTAAAACTATTTCTATCAATGGAAATCATGGAAATAAAATAAGATGTTAAGCAATTATTTGTATACATGTATACGTCTATATGAATGCATACATAGATACGTGCATAAATACGTATTAGTAATGTAGAGGAAATGAATAGAATGAAGAATAATGAATAAATAAAAGGTGTAGGTTATATTCATGAGAGATCTTTGTTCTCGATGAAGGTACCAATGGAGGTCAGGTAGCATTAGTATATGTGTTTTGCTTTTGTATATAAGTCTTAAGTAGTTTGGATTCATGAATTTATCTGAGATCAAACTTAAGACTTCTGAATTAGTATACAATCGTTTGAAATTTAAATTTTAGTCGATTATCGATATTACGTAACTATCGAGCAAATAGTTCATTCTTGTCATGGTTGAGCTTCACAAATCGTGGATTTTCACTAGAACTGTAAAAATTTAACTCAAAGTTAGTCACTAATCAGAATACAAATAATGCTTGACTGGGAATAGTTTTTAAGATTAGTTTAAGTTAATGATCATCATTGCTGTCCAATATACCGTGGTTCTCGGTTGTTCTTTGGTTAATCCTTCTTATTTAACATAAGAAATTATTGAACAAATTTTTTTGATGCAACCTGTATTATTGTATAGTTTATATTAGTAGATAGTGACTAACAGTCAAGTTCAAAATGCATTTTTTTGTTGTTTTTTTAGGGACAGATTTTGAAACACCGGTTCATTATTGTTATTGTTACGTTCCACTAAGATTCAAAATTTACACGCTAATTGTTTTTAATCCTGGAACGTTATTTACTGAACTGCTGAATAACACTAACCGTTCATCTATCGTTGTATATTATTCAGATGTAGTTCTATTCTTGCGGCGACTGTTGATTGACTTCAGATATTCATTAGGTTAGATTGTAATTATGATTTTTGAAATCTCATGAATACTGAATACATATCATAGTGGTTTTGAATACTACTAACAACTAATTAAGTAGAGAAAAATGTTATTTAATCTTTCAAGAGGTCACTCAAAGACTGAATAAAATGTTGAGCATATTCGATTTCGTGAAAAAAGAAAAACAGATCTCTCGAATTGTTGACCTCATCTTGTTCACATGCACACATAATCAAATAATTAAAAATCATGGTTTGTTTTCAATGGCTTTGGATAATCTCACATGAATCAAAGTATGTTGCTCATATAAAATGTTCTTCTTAGTAGTTAAATTATTAAACATCAGCCATAATCACAGATAAGAGTATTAGTTCGCTTCTAGTCTGAAAGTATTTTCGGTACTGGAATGAGCTTGGTCAGCAGTGTGTGTGTGTGTTTGAAGAAAAAGTGCAAAAGTGAACAGATGAGTTAGTAAGCACATCAAACACACTTCCTTTTACCAATAGAACTAGTCAATAACAATCAGTAGTAGCATGGGACTAGGACGATTCAACTGTCACAACTAGAAGTGTTAGCACGAAATTTCAGATCTGTAACAGTTAAGCAATATGACATTTGTTACTAACTACTGAATCAAACAATAGAACTCATACAGTTAATATCAATAGACTATTATTTTTATCTAATAGCAATTTGAATAATAACAATGTAAATTTCAGTATTGCATCATCGAACTCAGAATATTAATGATTAAAACAAATTATGGTGTCAAATATGAGATCATTGAGAAATAATCATGTTCATAAAGGTTCGCTATAAGGTTATTATCGTTATTATTCAATGTATTGTATGTGTATGTGTGCATGTTATGTGTGTAAGTATGTCAACTTCATGTGTGAACATGTGAGTCATATATAATTACTCAATGACAATGATTAAAAATAATGTCATATCGATTTCGTCCATTCACTTATTCTAGCACGTTTTCACACCTTTTCTCTGAGCCCTAGTGACTAGATGAGGATAGATTCAATCGTAATTAATATCTCAAATTAAAACTCATAAATTAATCTCTTTTCGTCATATTAGTACTAGTTTTTATAATCCATTGTAAAACTATTCTGTTAATTAACTTACTATATTTATTAATGAAAACTATGAAATTAAGAGAATTGTCTATTATCTACTTGACAGTCAACAAAAAACCTACATTTAATATAATCTGAATTTGTATGTAATATTCATCCCATAATCACATTAGCCGGGTATTATTGTGTCTGAGAGAGAGACTGATAGAAGATTATCGAACTTTGGAGAGGTATCTGAGAGAAGACGTACACCATTCATCAAAATACCTGATAGGAACCCACATTACCGGTGAACAGAAAACTACAGGCGTATAAATGTATGTTCACTTGGTATGAAAAGATATTAAACAAACTTGTCACTATATGTTGATTCAGTGAAGATCCTTAAATCTTCAGTAGTATATCAGTGCAAGTTGATATATTTCTTAAGAGGACAATAAAAGTATTACAAACTTTAAAAAATCGTTTAGATGATTTAGTGGGAATTTCGTAGAAACATGAGTAGAT